GCCAGGGCTCTTGATACTGGATCAATGCGAGGAGGAGGAGAAGGGAGGAAGAGAAAGAGAGGGTTAGTGCCAGATACACATGTGAGGAAGGAGCAGGAGGGAGCCGAGCAGAGGAGACAGGCTCAGTGCAGAAAGGGGAGACAGGATGGAGAACACTGGTGGCCGCAGGCAGGGAGAATGGGACTGCAGGAGCCTGTGGGGTGCTGCAGGGAGGCAGAGGGGCCATGCTGCACCCCGCAAGTGAAGCAGGGCTTCATGACAATGTGCTTTGAAGGAACTTACCACAGGACAGAGGAGGAACCTGGTGCTGCAGCGCGGAAAACAGGGCAAGGGAGGGATTGCCTGGACCCCAGCACGGCCCATATTGGGACTAGAAACGTGTTCCAGGCTCCCAGCCCTCTGTCCAGGCTCCTAACACTGAATCCCTCCATCAAGGGGGGGCTTCCTCCAACCCATCACAGCTCCACCGAGCACACACCACCTCCATGTGCCACCCAGCACGTCCTGGGCTCCATCAACCCTCGGCCACAGCGTTTCCCAAGCCCCCCACCATGCACGCGCCTCGGACCGAACCCAACCCAAGGCTGGGTGACACCCCCCCTCTCCTCTGGCCAAGGCTGAGGGCAACCCCTCTGCCACTGCAGCCCTGCAGCAGGACAGCACAACCCAGGGCTCAGTGTCCCTCCCGCCGGTGGGATGCCCGTGGGGTGGTGGTGGGATGGACACGGCACATGGATGTCTACACAACTGGAGGGTGATGGGCTCCTGGACAGAGCTGGTCATGCAGTGATGAGATGGGTGGCTCGGGTGGATGACAGGGAGAAGAAAGCACTTTCTTACCAGCTAACCCTCAAAGCAGGGCTAACGTCCGAGGAGGGGGCAAGTCCCGTCAGGCTGTGCAGGAAATGGCAAAGTCCTGGCAGGCATCCTCCTGGGGAAGACACCAGAGATAATGCACCTCAACACCCTCTGGTATGGCCAGAGCAGGCTGGGTGAGACACGGGGATCTTGGATCACAGATCCCAAGCAAGCTGGGGTGGGAAAAGGAGGTGGCTTCTGCAGGAATGGGAGCGCGAGTGGGTGAGTCCCTGCCCGGAGACATGGGACAGAAAAATCCCTTCGCTCCAGCAAGAGGCACGGCAGCGCCATTGCTGCTGAGCATTGCTGAGCATCCCTCACAGCCCCAGCCTGCAGGAGGCTGCAAGAGCTTCCAGGCAGGGCCTGGGCCTAATAAAGAGTCCAACTGCCACCTGATGGCTGTTCAAGGCTCAGACATCTGCCCTCTCCTGTCTTAAAGGAAGAAAATAATCATCCAAGCAATTAACTCTTTAAAAATATACTTTTATTGAGTAACAAAGGAAACTGGTTTAAATATAACCAGGAAGGAGCCGGGCCCCGGGCAGCACCACCCGCAGTGTCCTCACTCCCCAGCACCAGAGCAGTGTCCTCCCCTGCCCCTCAGAGGTGGCGTCGAGGCTCCTCGAAGGCAGGGACAAGCCCTGCTGGGGACATCCCTGGGGATGGAAGGGCCTCTCTGGATGCAACACGGGCAACGTGCCCGTGGGATGGCAGAGCAGCACCGGGAGCCTCCCTGGGCAGCGGGGGCCATCCACTGGAATCCAGTAGGAATTCAGCAGCCACCACCTCGGTGGAGGGGAAGGTAGAGCTGGTGGCCACAGCAAAACAGCACCAAGGTCTCCTTGCAGCCAGCCAGAAATGTGAGGCCAAGGAAACCTTGGGGCTCTGCTGTGCCCCAAAGCTGCAACACACAACGCTGGTGAATCAGGGGGGCAGAAATGTGCTGCCGCTGCCTGAGGCTGAAATAGCCACGTGTGACCCATGGAAAGCTGAGCAGGCAGCTGGATGCTGCAGCCCCTGCCCTGGTGCTAACGTGCACGACACTACCTGCACCGAGTAGAAAATGTTCTACATAGAAAAAACCCTACAAAACTGTGCAAAAATATCCAGCAGCTTTTCATAACGTGATTCAAGTATCGCTCGCAAGGTCTGCGGTTCCCCCTGCAAGCTGAGGTTCCCACATCTCCCAGCTGTAGCCTTGCCAAGCAGCATCTCATGATGAGAGCCACAGAACACTGCGTGTTTCTTCCTCCCCGTTAAAAGGAGACTCATCTGAACTTGTGTCCTGGCTGCAAAACGTTGTCTCACTGACTGGCGGGGTCGAAACACAACGAGTTCTTCAGCACTCCCTCAGTGACCAGCCAGAAAACATGATCAAGAGCAAGCGGGACACCCAGATAAGAGCCAGAGTCCTCCCAGCTCAACAGCCCCAGCTTACCAAGGCACAGCAGCTGCTGGGAAAGAAAAGCTGCTCCAGCAGTGGCCGAGGGGAGAACCTGGTCACTGGGAGACACAACAGCCCTTCCACGTCAGCACAGGGGAGCAGGACATGGATAGAACAGGGATACGAGGGAACTTACACCTCCACCATCCCAAAAGATGAGGCGTGACAGCCCAGTGGGAACCATTTCCCTGTCCCCACCTCATTCCTTGGGGCAGACAACACAGTGACCCCCTGGAGCAGACACTCCAGGCTCAGAGGCCTGGGGGCTTCCCAGACCCATCTGCTTCCCAGGGGCAGCAGGGACCTCCTGCTTTCTGCACGGGTCCTGCCTGCTGCTGGGCAGTGTCAGTCCAAGGTCCAGAGAGGCCACATCACAGTGAAACAAATACACCAAAAACAATAAATAACTCTTAAAAAAAAAAAGGCAACATATGGCTCAAGTGAGTCTGTGGCAGCTCTGTGGCACAGGGCTTCCCGCCTGAGCCGGGGAGATGGCAAGAGGGGAAGGTACTGGTTGGAGCAAGGTACTGGGCTACACCACAGCACGGTTAGGGAATGCCTCCTACCATGCTGGTGTCAGCTTTGGCTCCAAAGGATGGGATTTCACTCTTAGGACTGGACGGGGTCCCGATATCTGGCTGGATAAATCCTCTTCTGTCTATCAAACTGGAAAACAGAAAGGGAAGGGTGCAAGGGAGAGGAGTTAAGGAAATCCAGACTCCACAAAGACTCAGAAGCCACAGGGAGGGCTGTCCTCGTGGGAACTGCGAACCAAAGTGCCGCTGGATAACACGGCTTCCTGCCCATTACACAAACCACAGACTTATCACACAAGCCACCAAACAGGCTTGAGGCAGTTACAGCTTTGGGTCACCACAAACCCAAGCGGGAAATCGCAAAGGAAAAACAACATGAACGAGAAAAGAATTGGAGTAAAACACAATTCTCCCCACAACCTCCCAGCAAAGAGCCTGGCTCCCTGGATCCACAGATTTCCCATCTCTGAATGGCAGCACTGGCATTCAGGCACCTCTGAATCAACAAAAAGGTTGGGGGCACTTCAGAGAGCAGAGCCAGATGTAAGTATAAAGCACTTTGACTGTAGCTGCACAGCCTCTGACACCCTCCCCTGCTGTTGTGTTACACTGAGTTGGCACCTCCGAGATGCTCCGTGTAAATCCAAATTGGATTCACTCACTAAACTGGTCCCAAGGATCCCCGCATGCCCCAGGACAGGCTGAGGGCTCTAGGGCAGGGTGCAGGCCGAGAGCACAGCACAAGGGACACGGGCCTGACTCTGCCCAAGTGCACCCTCTTGTGACAAAGCAGCGATAATCCAGCGCTGCAGGTACCCGAAGCTGCCCAACATCTGCACACCTTTGCCTGTGGTTTAACATCGGTCCTGGTTAGGTCACAGGTAAGAATTTGGCAGGATGCTGCCAAGCATTTCAGGTACTCTAAGTGTTGGTAAAGGCCAGGGTCTCTGCACAGCCTGGTGGGGGTCTCTGCTGGCTGCCTGGCAGGAGGAAAACCATGTGCTAAGAAATGCTGCCACTCCTGGCATTCACCATCTGCTGCCGTTACTCTGCCCTTATTGAATCACAGGATGTGTCTTATCTGTGAGCTCCATAAAACAATTACAGTGACCTGAACTCACCAAGCTCAAACACAGGAGAAGCAACAGTATCTCCTGGTTATAGATGGCTCCAGCCTTTCTCTGCAGAGGCTGGGAAACCGTTTCCTCCTCTTCCTCAAAGTAGATGTGTTTGTGCTGTCACAGTCTCCCCTGAATTGTGCTGACTCTGTCCTTTCCAAGGACCCTCTCACAGAGCAGGGTGCAATTCCCAACGCCATGAAGGGCCAAGGCTCTTACCTGGGATGGAATGGTCCACACAGCACCGCACAGCAGTTTGTGAGGATACTTTTATGGCTGTAGGGATTGGCAAACTCTGAGCCCCTCTTATTTGACCAGGACCCTTTGATCTGAAAGGGAAGGGATACCCCCAGATTTAGGTAGGAAAGATGCGACAGCAGATGATTAGAAGATAATGGACTTGCTCAAGAGGTGGAAGAGGTTTGTCTTACTGCAAACATCCTCCGTTCTAACAAGCAGGACAGCTGCAGAAAGGCAGCCAGAGGACACAGCAATATGCTGCTCCTGCCTCTGCCAAGGTGCAACCTTGCAGCTAGAAAGCTCCAAAGCTGTGCCCTCCCCATGCTGCAGGGCACTTTGTCAGTGTCACCAGCTGCAACACCAGCCTCCTCTTCCCCCCCCGCCCCGTTCTCTCCTAGGCTGAAAGCTCCCCAGAGCAGGGCTCTGCTGGGCTCCTCAGGCTGAACAAACAGCAAGGGAATCCCCAGGCCACACTGCAATGGGAAGAAACAATCTCATCTGTCCCCACCCTGAGCATCTGTCACTGGGACTCTTGGTTTTGAAACCCCGATCACACCAAGCACAGGCGGGGGGGGGGGGCGTGG